AAAAAAAAAAAAAGAAAGAAAGAAAGAATATAACCATGTTGTAATTCCTAATAAAATAACAGATCTATACAAGGACCATCAAGGACTGCTCACATTATAAAAGACAGACAAGGAGATATGACATGCCTCTTTTTGGAAGCACACAATACCACCTATGAAGGTATCCCCAAAATAATCCAACTCAAATCTGATCAAAAATCTAGATTTTGGGTGGCGCCTATAGCTCAAAGGAGTAGGGCACCAGCCCCATATACCAGAGGTGAAGGGTTCAAACCTGGCCCCAGCCAAAAAAAAAAACAACAAAAACTGCAGGGCAGTGCCTATGGCTCAAAAGGGTAGGGCGCCAGCCCCATATGCCGGAGGTGGTAGGTTCAAACCCAGCCCCGGCCCAAAAAAAAAAAAAAAATCTAGATTTAATTACTAAGTCACAGGAACTATAGAGGATAAAGAACTATGTCAAATGCCACAAGAAGAATGCAATCAGCAAAATCCAGACTCTGGGAAACTTTACAGAACAAAAAACTCCATTTTTTTAACAAATAAATTTCAAGAAAAAAAAATAGGTGAGGACCACAGCTATTTGAACATAGAAAAGCTGAACGCTTTCCTCTAAGAACTGGAACAGACAAGAATGGATACTCTCATTACACTTATTCAATATAGTGCTGGAAATCCTAGCTAGAGCAATTAGGCAAGAGAAAGAAATAAAGGGCATCCAAATTGGAAAGCAGAAAGTGAAATTGTCCCTGTTTTTAGACAACATGATTGTATTTATAGAAAAATCTTTTTTTTTTTGAGACAGAGTCTCAAGCTGTCACCCTGGGTAGAGTGCCATGGCATCACATCTCACAGCAACCTCCAACTCCTGGGCTCAAGCAAGTCTCCTGCCTCAGCCTCCCAAGTAGCTGGGACCACAGGCACCCGCCACAATGCCTGGCTACTTTTTTTTTTAGTTGCAGCCGTCATTTGTTGTTTGGTGAGCCCGGCCTGGATTTGAACCCACCACCTTCGGTGTATGTGGCTGGTGCCTTAGCCACTTGAACCACAGGTGCCGAGCCTATAGAAAAATCTTAAGTCTCTATAAGAAAGCTCTTAGAACTGATAAATAAATTCAGTAAAGTTTCAGGATACAAAATTAATATGTAAAAACCAGTAGCATAAACAACAAACTAGCTGAAAAAGAAATCAAAAAGGGACTCTGCTTTATCAGAGCTACCAAAAAACAAACAAACAAAAGTAGGAGTAAATTTAACCAAGGAGGTGAAAGATCTCTACAAGGAAACTACAAAACACTGATTAAAGGAATTGAAGCGACTCAGTGCCTGTAACACAGTGGTTACAGCGCCAGCCATATACACCAAAGGTGGAGGGTTCGAACCCAACCGGGCCAGCTAACCGACTGCAACAAAAAAAATAGCCAGACATTATGGCAAGTGCCTGTAGTCCCAGCTATTTGGGAGGCTGAGGCAAGAAAATCACTTAAGCCCAAGAGTTGCTATGAGCTGTGCTGTCACAGCACTCTACCGAGGGCAATAGGGTGAAACTCTGTCTCTTAAAAAAAGGAACTGAAGAGGAAACAAACAAATGGAAAGCTATTCATGCTTATGGATTGAAAGAATGAATGTTGTTAAAATGACAATACTGTCCAAAGCAATCAATAGATTCAAGGCAACCCCTATGGAAATAACACTGACATTATTCACAAGGAAAAAAATCTAAAATTTTATAGAGAACCACCAAAAAAAAATATTAATAGCCAAAGCAATCTTGAGTAAAAAGAACAAAGCTGGAAGTTTCACACTACCAGACCTTAAAATATGCTACAAAGATGTAGTAGCCAAAATAGCACAGTCCTGGTATGAAAACAAAGACATAAAGAACAGAGAACCCAGAAATAAATCCACATGTCTACAGCCAACTGATTTTTGACAAAGGTACCAAGAACATTCCTTGGGGAAAGGGCAATCTTTTCAATAAATGGCGCAGGGAAAACTGGACATCTGTATGCAGAAGAGTGAACCTTGACCCCCACCTCTCACTTCTGTACAAAAGTCAACTCAAAATGGATGACAGCGCCAAATATAAGACCTGAAACTATAAAACTACTAGAAAAAAAAAAGCAGGGGAAATGCTTTTAGGACAGTGGTCAGGGAAAAAGTTTTATGAATAAGACCTCAAAAGCACATACAACAAACACAAAAATAAATAAATGGGATTCTATCGAACTAAAAAGCTGCTGTATAGTTTGTTTAAAAATATCTGCTAAAAGATAACCTGTAGATAGAATGGAAAAAAAAATTTGCCAACTACTCATTCAACTGGGAATTAATATCCAAAATATGCAAGGAACTCAAACATCTCAACAGAAAAATAAAACAACTCTGATTCAAAAATGAGATCTAAACAGGTATTTCTCAGAAGAAGGTCTTTTGCCATACAACTCACAAATAACATGAAAAAATAACAAATAACAAATAAATAACATGAGAAAATACTCAACATTACTAACTATCAGGGAAATGCAAATCAAAGCCACAATGAAATAACATGAAAAAATACTCAACATTACTAACCATTGGGGAGATGCAAATCAAAGCCACAATGGGTAGTATCTCGCCCAGTTAGGATGGCTATTATCAAAAGGCAAAAAACAACAAATGCTGATGAGGATGCAGAGAAAAGGGAACTCTTCTACATTGGTGGAGATGTAAACTAGTATAGTCTCTTTGGAGAACATGTTACTATGGAGAACAGTATGGAGGTTCCTCAAGAAAGCAAAAATAGAACTACCATAACCCAGCAATCCCACTACTGGGAATTCATGCAAGGGGAAGGAAATCTTATATCAAAGAGACATCTGCACCCCTATGCTTATTGCAGCACTATACACAATTGCCAAGCTATAGAATCAACCTAGGCATCCAACAACAGATAAGTGGATACAGAAAATGTGGCAGATAGACACAAGGGAATACTATTCAGCCATAAAAAACAATGAATCCTATCATTTGTAGCAACATAGTTGGAACTGGAGAAGATTATATTAAGTAAGCCAAGAATAGAAATTTATATACTGCTTGTTCTTCCTCATATGCTAAAGCTAAAAAAGCTGATCTCATAGAAGCAAAAAAATAGAACGGACAATATTAGAATCCGGGAAGGGTGGGTGGAA